CTCTCTCTCTCTCTCTCTCTCTCTCTCTCTCTCTCTCTCTCTCTCCTCTCTCTCTCTCTCTCTCTCTCTCTCTCTCTCTCTCTCCCTCTCTCTCTCTCCCCCCCCTCTCTCTCTCTAGTTCTTCCTTCAAGATGATACAAGGATTCCACTAGTCGAAATCTTAAACAAAGAAGACTCCCTCCTCACCAATGCCTTCTCCCTCTATCCCATCTCATCAGTAGAGAGGATGTATTCTGTCCATTACTACTACGCTACAATCGAATACAAGAAGTATTCTCTGAAAGCTGATACAGCTGGTAATATGATGATGGAGGCCTGCCAGGAGTTACCCAACGCTCTCTTAGATGAGGATATTGTACAGATTGGTTGCGATCTGGTACGAGGAGATGATCAAAGTATTCTCGACAGTCAGAAGAACCTTATCAAGTATCGTCGGACGACCAGATACCGGCCTATTAATCATTACCAGTATCGCAACTGGCGTTATTTTGACACTAATAATCTTTATAACGATGAGACTACAGAGCCTCATCATCACGTTGGACTCTTTAAGTATCTATCAAGAGAGTTTAGACGTGCCACAGACCAAGCCACGAAAGAAATAAATAAGAAATATGCCCCGAAGCGGTATAAGCTTCGTACGATAATAAATGGGTTTGTCAAGAACGATCCTATTTTTGGTAACGATTACATCATAGATGGGAAATTTGTTGACGTGAAACATACCTCAGCGGCTCTGTATGAGCGTGTTAGGATCTTCCAGCCCATTCAAAATGGCTATACTGTAAAACCGTCAAAGAACGATGCAAGTGAATTGATTAATATTGTCGTACCGATATCCGATGTTACCCAGCGTTGCTATGACTACCTTGAGATGTTTGAGAAGATTTATTCCCGGGACGACAAGCTGCGACTGGTTTTGGTCATTTTCGGCAAAAACGACGTCCACGACATAGAAGAGAAAATTAACGAGATACGACAGACCACGCCCAAAGTGAACATAGTCATAGTTAAAGGGAAGGGTAACTTCTCACGTGCTCAGGCTCTAGACCAAGGAATGATGACACTAGAGAAGAATGATTTGGCTTTCCTCTGTGACGTTGACATGGAGGTCAATATTACGTTCTTTGATCGCTGCCGAAAGAACACGAATCAAGGAAAAATGGTCTATTACCCCGAGGTTTTCAAAATGTACAACTCCCGTTTTCTAAACCCAGATAAAAACGCTCGAAGAAAGCACTCACGTTTCCGTGGGCATTGGGGCGGCTATGCTTTTGGAATGCTCTGTATTTATAAATCAGACTACACTAAAGTGGGTGGACTCAATACTAAGATGATGGGGTGGGGTGGTGAAGACGTAGACCTCTTTCAAAAGGTTTTGAAGAGTCGTATCGAGGTCCTGAGAGCTCCGGACGTTGGTCTCATTCATAGATGGCATAAAAGGAGCTGCTCAAAAGCCTCACTGACAGAGAATAATTATAAACAGTGTCTGTCGTCAAGAGCTGAAGCGTTAGGTGATAAAAGGCCACTGGGACACTTTTTATATCTCCTGCAAGATATGTATCCTGATTTGAAACAGAAACTACAAATTCCTGTATAGTTTATAGTGGAGGCTGGGTATTGTTGAGTTTTTACATGATTAAACTATTATTATTATTACCATTATTATTATTATTATTACTAATACTATTATTATTATTATTATCATTATTATTATTACTATTATTGCACATTATTTATACTTTGCTAATATAATTATTAACAAACAATTCAATGATTGTTAACTTGAATAGTGAAGTATTGTAGAGGTGTTTGTAGGCTATTC